GCTCCCCAGACCCACCAACTTTACTTGTAAAACAGCAATAACAGCAGCAACTACCCCAGCACAGCTGCTTAATTAATTTCCATTTTTTCTTTATCATTACGACTACACTTAGAATCTTTCTTTCTTGTCTGTGGCTCCACGGCTATCCTTCACTATAACTGAACGCCTGGGGATTATACAGCTTAGAATCCTGGAATAACATTTAATAATCCAACTGTGTTTTCCTGGGATTTTAGTGTGTTGATATAAAACTTCACAAAGCAGTTGAGGGGGGATGACTTTTGTCTTTGACTGAAACCTACGACCCTCTGGCTCTGGAGACACCCTGGTCCAGTTGGTTGGGGTACTCCTGCCTCATATCACAATGAGTCCGGCCCCTACTCTATGAGAAGACCACAAGCAGGTCCACAGTCTCCCTGGAAGACCGTGGCTCAAGGGGACAACCCTCCACTTCTGAGACAGGAGAGCAGACCTTTACTTGTGGGGACCTCCCACCTCAGACTCCCCCTGCTGCAGCTCTCTAGGGACCCAGGCTCCTGGGTCTCAGGCGCTATACTGTGGAATCGCGACGTCCAAGGCTTTGGGGGCGGAGTCCATCTTGTCAAATGGCTTTGCTCAGCTGCCGGCTGGCATCTTTACCCTACTGTCACCTTTACCTTCCATTTCCAGTGACACACAGCGGGCTTACAGCCTCAGACCTGAAGCAGAGCCCGAGGGTCCTCCTGGCCACCCCTGCCTCAGTGTGACCACACCCCATCGCACTGTATCACACTGTACCTGGCGCCACCAACTCCCTGCCAGGGAAGGGCCAATGTCCCTTCCTGGAGAAGGGGCCAAGGCTCAGGATGAGCCTGGGCCTCCAGGCTGTGGTCCTGCTGGTCCAGCTCCGGGCACCCCACCCTGGTGCCTGAAGAGGTTCCACAGACTCAGGCAAAGCGTACCTGGATCTCCTCGGGATACGACAACTGGACAGTTGAGCGTTTCTGGAACATGCTCTTCACAAACACCCCGCGTAGCCAGGATCTAGTGGTGGCCAGGACACCCTGCAGGACACTTGTCACTGAGCCTTTCCAGGCTGCAGCTCCTGGGTCCTCTGCCATGTCCTGTGGGCACATGAGAGAAAGTCACCTGCTCTGCGCTGCTCTTCCCAGCACTGAGCCACCGCCCAGCTCTGTGCTGGATGGAAACCTACCTGACACAAGCACTGCGCTCCCCTCAGAACCCCACGCTCCCCTGAAAGGGGCGATGAGGGAGAGGAGGGGAGAAGGCATGGGTGTTACAGGTCCCTGTGCAGACCCCGCCTCACCAAGAGCCCCCAGCAGGCAGGGCACACGGAGCCCTGAGCTTTCTCCAGCTCAGGTCAAGAATGCTTCTGGAGCACAGAGCTTCCAGGGAAGCCCAGCCAGAGGCCATGCAAACCCCCGGCCCCCACTCCTCAGGGATGGGAAGCAGCTACTCTGCTGGCCTGGAGGCCAGCCCAGTCCCCTTCCCCTGGGCACATTGTGGGGACAGCCCCTATCTCTCTCCCTGAACTTCCACCACCACACCCACAGAGCCACCTCCTTTTGGGGACTCAAAGCCTCTAGTGACGCGACCCTCTCTCTTGGCACTGCAGAGGTATCTGCCAAGGAGCACGCGCATCAGAGCTCACTTTAGAGAGGCCTCCCCTGAGGCCCTCAGCACTACACGGTATGTGCTTCCATGGAACCCACCACACCTGGTTCTGCCACCTCCTGCCCCTTGAGGCTCACGGAACCACCCTGGTCCTCCGCCTCAGCAAAGCATCAAGGGGGCCAAGCAGACGCCATCCTGCCGTAGGGAACCAACTAGAGTGGAAGAGACGGCCCTTTCAGACAGCACGAAGAGCGTGGTCCGCAGACACAGTGAGTGCAGAGGCACAGGAGCACAAGGAGCCGGGGAGGCAAGCCAACGGCGGAAGAGGGGACGTGGGCCCCAGGCAGGGTAAGCAGAGCACAGGGCACAGGCCAGGGCAGGCCAGGACAGCACTGGGGGTCTCAGGGAAATCGAAACAGGGGCCCTTGCATGATGTCCCTGAACGGCACAGAACCTTCCAGAGCAATCTGGATGCCTCAGCGGGCATGCATGCCCCTTGTGCCCAGGCATTCTACCAACTCCCAAAAGTGGCCCAGCCAAACACTGGCCCATCCTGGTGTCATCCAGGGCTGCACAGAAGTGGTGAATAAAGGAACGGCTGGGGGAATCCCGAGGCTGAGCCACCCCAGTGCCCTGACCTGTGCTCCAGGCCCCACGGGCAGCCGCCCAGCTGGGCTCCCAACGAGAGGCTCCCAACACTCGCCCCAGCGTGTTTTCGTTCTGGTCAATGTTGTCACTGCAGAGCATTTTTATTTTTGCAGCAAAGATGGAGTATCTGTGACCACAGATCTGGGACACTGAACGACCGTGACAAGTAAATCCAGGCTGGGGCTGGGGCTCAGCGGCAGGGCGCTTGCCTAGCAC